AGGGATTCGTACTGTTTGCCTTTTTTTTGAATGAGTAAGTAAACACCAAGCAAAGCTGGTGTTGCAGGGTATGATTTAGTGTAGGTTAACATAGTGCAGAGGGTATTTTGCAATAAAATTTTAAATTAGGGAGAATATATTTACTGCCTGTCGTGAGTCTGGCTTATGAACTATAGGCTTGATATTTGGCAGAATGTGTAAGAACTGATAATTAGGTGTGTGTGTGCAGGTAGTGACATTTGTTTAAAACAAAGTACTGTAAAACTGAATTCATTTATGCCTCTTACTTTGTTCGGTTGCTCATAGACAAGTAATAAAATACACCAATAATATCTCTGTTTGCAATAAGCTTTAATTATACAGGCACCTGATAAAATGCAGATGAGCTATCTGCTCTCTGTGTATGAGGAGTCTAATAAATAGAACTGGCAGCTCATCTATGTGCATGTATGTGTATGAGTGAGAGAGGGGGAAGAGAGAGACTCATCTGTAATAACATTGATAGCTTTGAAGGTGGGACTTAGTCATTTTCACAGCTTTATTGGCTGAAATTATCAGATGAAAAGGGTTGGTACTACTCTGCATGTGTTTGTGCTTTTCCCACCCGAGTACATAGGGAAAGGGAATTTTGTGCTTTAACGATCTACCTTATATTTCTTTTATTTTAACAATTTGAAGATCTCTTTTCTGCTCCCTTTACTAATGTCACTAAAACAGAAAGATTTACTTCAGAATGGATTTCAAAATCCTGTGGGGAAACGAGGACACAGGATACCATATATTTATTTTATTTTATTTTATTTTTTTTTACTATTTATATTTTTTTAACTCATGGTTTGTGATCTGTGGTATTCACAAGTCTAATTTCTCTTCCAGACAGGGGTTAGCTCCTGCATTAACTTCCTGTGCCATGGTCAGGAAGGATCCATTTGATCCAGGTGTAGCCTTCTCCTGTTATGGCTCAGTGTTGTAATGCCATGAGTGTGCCCAAATCTCATAAGAAAATATTGGTTAGTGCTCATTAATCCTCTACACACTTAGTGTTTGTTTACCTTTTCTGGAGGATGCTGGGACTGGATGAAATCAGGTCTGCAGTAGCCTTCACTGTTTAGTGTCAGACGTTTGTTTCAGCAGCTGCCCTGAAAGGAAAATATGTATTTTACATCTGGTGGAAGTTAAGGAATTTCTCCTTAGCTCCAGGAGCTCCAGATTTTTTGTTAAAGCAGAACATGATATATGACACTCCTCCTGTTTCTTGCTTACTCTTGGCTGATGATAAGTCTGGGGAAAAGAAGAATTATAATTGTTACTTCAACAGGTATTTACTGGAGTGTTTACCCCAATCAGGTCTCACAAGCTCTGTCTCTCAGTAGCAGAGTGCTTGGGATACACTCCCGGGGGCATCCTTCAGGTTGACTTCCAAAACACTCCTAATTCAAACATACCCATGTAGGCAAACTTTGAGAATGCCAAAGTTAATTGGTTTGTTGTGTAGTCCATGCAATGGGCTGCTGAGTTAGGACAACCCAGACAAGCCTGGAGCCAGGCTGGGAGTGTACTAGATAAGGGTTTCTCTCAAGCAGTGCATTAAAGGTGAAGTCACATGTCTCTATGTCAGCATTTAGCTGATGCTTCTATATCTGACTAGTCTGTAGACACCATGTTTCTATAGTTCTGTATTTCCAGAACAGTATTCTGGAAGCACCAAGCCTCAGGAAACAAGATTTGGTAGGAATAAAACTTAAAATTGCTGCTGAGAAGTATTATGAAAAATGTGGAGGGGTGGAGTCAGCCTTGTAGGGGAATTTTGAAAGAATTCCGAATTGCCAGCAAATAAAGCACAGGAGGTGTCAGACCCGTGGCCTGGATCCACAATCCAGTA